AGTTTATTTTTTGGTTTCATTTTTTCCTCTTCTAAACAACATAAAAATAATCTCACTTTTTATTTATTTTTCTCCATTTTTTTTTCATTGCTAAATCAAACTATCATTATCATAAAAATATTTTACAATCAATTATAAATTATAAAAGGTATAATTTTAAAAGTATTTAACTATTTATTATGCAAGTCAACAAAAGATTCCAATTTGATAATTTATAATTAAATGAAAATATAAATCTCTTTACAAGATGAATATATTAAATGATATGATTTTCAATAAAATACAATTCATTGATTTTTTAACTATTATTTTAAATGTATTATTTAAGTGAAAATTTTCTAGACAACATTGTAAAAAGTACACGTATCTTCTTTATTTGAGAAAAATAGTCTGTTTGAAAATAAATTTAAAGACTTTTTTTTAAGAGTTTTTCTATTAGAAAATACTCTTTATTTTTAGTAGAGAAATTTTTAAAAGTGTTTATAATTTGTATTTAAACAGATTCAAAATAATTTCACACTATATTGTTGATTCACAAGTCTAAATGTTTCATACCAAAAATTAAAGTTTTTTTTTTTAATTATTAGTTAAGGTATACTTTAGTTATTTAATTTTTGTCAATTTATACTTTTCATATTCTCTTTTAAAATAAAGACATTTAGTCTTTTAACTTTAAAAATATAAATGTTTAACCCTATTATCAATTTAATATTGTCTAGAATTTCAACATTGACCAACCTATCATTATTTAAATGACGTAACATTTAATAATAAAAAAATAAAAATTGTAAAAGATTAATTAATACTTATTTTATTATTAAAATTTATGTATAAAATCTTTATTTATATTTATTTTAATAAATAATTAATATTTTTTTACACTGATACTTATTTTATTATTAAACTCCTATTGTTTATATATATATATATTAATTGAACATCACATTATTTAAATAATAACATATAATAATTTAATACTAAAATTTAACAATTAATAGATATTAAATTAAAAAAAATTTCATATTTTAAAGTTAAGTAAATTAAATATTTTTATTTTAAGATATAAAAACTAAAATTTTGACATAAATCAATTTTTATATATTAAACACAAATTTTTATTTTATACGAGAATATTTTTAAAAAAATTTATTGAATTAGAGAGTTTTTAGAAAATCTTTAACTTCTTTTCTAATTTAATTTAATTTATCATACTTATTATCATTTAAATATTAACATTTTTAAATAATTTATCAATAAATGAAAATAAATTTTTATTACAATACAAATTATTTAGTATAAATTTAAAATATAATTTATATATTTAAAATATTTATGTATATTAATTTTAAATATAATTTATATATTTAAATATAATATATATAAATTTAATTATGTATAATAAATATTCCTATACACAGACTAATTTTTTTTTTAATAAAAATGTTGTCACTTCTAGTAGTAAAACTAGTGACATCAAATGCTTTAAATGTCTTGGGAGAGGCCATATAGCTTCTCAATGTCCAACTAAAAAGGTCATGATTTTGAGAGGACAAGACATTTATAGTAGTCTTGATGAATCTAGTTCTACCACTTCAAGTGATAGTGAGACTAGTAAGGAAGATCCTCAAATTGAAAAGCTATATCCTGTTGATGGTGATCTTCTTATGGTCAAAAGGCTTCTTGGAAGTCAACCTTGTCCCACTTCACTATCACAAAGAGAGAACATCTTTCACACAAGATGTTTGGTTTCCAAAAGAACTTGTTCTCTCATTGTTGATAGTGGATCATGTTCTAATTGTTGTAGTACAAGGTTGGTTAACAAGTTAGCCCTTACCACCATTCCTCACCCTCACCCTTACAAACTTCATTGGCTCAATGAAGGTGAGGAATTGGAGGTGAATCAACAAGTGAAGGTCAAGTTTTCTATAGGGGATTATAAAGACAAAGTTTTATGTGATGTGATCCCTATGGAAGCTTGTCATATTTTGCTTGGTAGGCCATGGCAATTTGATAAACAAACTATACATGATGGCCTCACTAACAAAATATCCTTCATTCATAAAAATAAGGAAATTGTTTTTAATCCTTTAACACCACCCCAAGTGTTTGAGGATCAAAAGCAAATGAAAAAGAAAAGAAACAAAGAAAAGAAAGAAGGACAGAGTGTGGATAAAGGGGACTCCACTAAGACATTTGTGACAAAAGAGAGTTATTTTATGACCAAACAAGACTTGAAAAGAACTCTCTTTATTCATAAAAGTCTTGACTCTTATCCTAATGCTGCCACTTATCTTAAAGTTGAGAATGAGGAACAAAATGAATTTCAAGTAAAGAATTCTTCTCAACTTCGAGATATAGTGAAGAAGGAGTGGACTATACCTAGTGTTACTCCTTATACTACTTCCTTGAAGGTGCACAAGGAAGGAAGTATTTCTTTGGATTTCATAAAGCACCCAATTTTCGGTTTACATTGTTTAGTAGATATAACTTGTAATAATCTATATTCTATGTTTGATCTTATGGGAAGTTCTTATTTTTTTGAACTTAATATGTTTCCTTCCCTACAAGACAAAAATAGATTATATGACTATGAGTATCTAATAAACAATCAAATCCAAAATTGTTTAGGACGTTTTTTAGTAGTATTTTCTTTATATTTTAGGAAAAGCCTAGGATACCATTTAGGGTACTTTAGGCAAGATATTGTAGTGTTTAAAAATCAGTCTTTTCATTGTCTTAGTCATAGTGTTCTTACATTTTTAGGTTTTACTTCTAGGTTATGCTTAGAAGAGGAGCCTATTTCTAGAGAGTCTAATATTTTATCTTTCTTTGTTAGGTTAGATACTAGGACTCCTCTTAGGATCCATGATCTTTTCTCTTACCATGTTACTTCTTATTCCTTGCATGTTTTATATGTAGGTGTTAATTTTTCTTCTTCCATTCATCCTCGAGATTTGAGGACAAATCCTTTTCAAGAGGGAGGGGATGATGGAATCATGCTTTGGAGTGCAAGAGGTGACATACTCAAAGATCCAAGAGGAGTGGGCTAGACATGGAAGATTGGGCCAGTCCAGGCCCAATGGGCCCTATGGGCTTGGAAGGCCCAAACCAAGTTTCAACATGGGCCTATCTTGTTATTAACATCCTTATTATATTTTTGTTAGCCTAGTTTGAATATATTTTGGTCTTGTATTTTGGACCATATAGAGTAGCATTTTAGGTTGTAGGCTAGTTGGGCCTAGTTTTGGGCTTCATGGGCCTTTGGGCTTTTGGTACCCAATATTGGGCTCATTTTAATTCTTGTAATTTTTCCTTTCCATTGTATTTGATTGACCATTGTATTTAGGTCATTAGATTAGGAAAATACAAGAAAAACTAAAGTAGGCTAACTAGGTTACATTGAGTTTAATTTGGAAGTCATTTAAGTTACATTTGAGTCATATGTTTTGCACCAATGGGTGGCTGAACATGTGACACTCAAATTAACCCTAAATGACTCTCAAATCAGACCTAGATGCAAAGGATCACCTAAACTCACAGCCACACTCATGTGGATCAAAATTTGAATTCAAATTATAGGCGCCATTTTGTGTAGTTTGGTTTAGGCGCCTAAGTGTCTCAAAGTCGTGCCTACTTAAGCTTGTCCTTCACCTATTGTAATCACTTTTGAATATATGAGAATTTCTGAACAATTACTTCAGCTAATTCCCTCAAGAGTCACCGAAAATTCCAAGAGAGAAAACCTAAGAGAATGCCTTCAAAATCCTTAGGAAAACCTAGTTTCCTTCCCTTTGAAGTGTGCAATCCCTTGAGTTCATGAGCTTGGATGCTTCCTTCTTCCATTTCCGCAAGTTTTCTTCATCTTCACGAGTTCTTCAAGTGTGTTTCTATCTCCATTGAAGAAGATCCGAGCCTAGGAGGAGTTTAGGAAGAGTTTGAGCTTCACTCCTACTACTCACCTCCATCAATTTTGGTATCAAGAGCAAGGTCTTCAAGGAGATAAGTGTTCTTCAAATTGTGTCCGTTTCTTCTTGTGTCTTGTGTTGTTTCTTTGCTGTTCTTATTTGTCTTAATTGAGTTTCACTTTCGGATCTATATTTTGATGTTATTGTGTTCATAGATCCATTGTTGATTGTCTTGATTTTCTTCCATAATCAACTTGTTAGGAACTATTTGCTTTGTGCTAATTTTGAGTTTATTTTGAGTCTCTCCATTCCTTGTATGTGTCCGTGATTGGACCTCATGCATATGCATTAGTTTTTGTTTTTGAATCCTTGTTTTGTCTTAGAAGTTTGTGTTTAGTCATTATATGTTACAAATTCCTTGAATAACATGTTTAACCTAGTGTTACTTTGAATTTTGTCACTGATACTTATTTTATTATTAAACTCCTATTGTTTATATATATATATATTAATTGAACATCACATTATTTAAATAATAACATATAATAATTTAATACTAAAATTTAACAATTAATAGATATTAAATTAAAAAAAATTTCATATTTTAAAGTTAAGTAAATTAAATATTTTTATTTTAAGATATAAAAACTAAAATTTTGACATAAATCAATTTTTATATATTAAACACAAATTTTTATTTTATACGAGAATATTTTTAAAAAAATTTATTGAATTAGAGAGTTTTTAGAAAATCTTTAACTTCTTTTCTAATTTAATTTAATTTATCATACTTATTATCATTTAAATATTAACATTTTTAAATAATTTATCAATAAATGAAAATAAATTTTTATTACAATACAAATTATTTAGTATAAATTTAAAATATAATTTATATATTTAAAATATTTATGTATATTAATTTTAAATATAATTTATATATTTAAATATAATATATATAAATTTAATTATGTATAATAAATATTCCTATACACAGACTAATTTTTTTTTTAATAAAAAAAACTACGTAAATGCAGTGCTTTAATATTTTAAATACATGTATCAGGTTAAAGTGGTAACAGCCAATAGCATGTGAGGTAGTTTCAGTACCCAGTCAGAGTGTACCATTGCCCTCTGGGAAATTGATTCTTTTTTATTGAATTTGGTGGAAACCCTTGGAAGTTGAAACTCCACACTCGTTTTTCTAACTCTTTTCTTTCTTTACATAGTGAAAAGTGCTTCTAACCATTTGAGGGTTTGGTCTGTGTTCTGTACTCTCTATTCAACTCTCGCTGTCCACTTTCTCTCAAAACTGTTAAAGTTTGAAACTTTTCTCATTTTTCATTGTTGTTGTTGAAATGGGGAGCCAAAATTGTGATGGTTGCAGATCGTGGGCGGAGGACATTTACTGGTCCCATTTTCAATTCCTCCATTTTGTGCAATTTCTCCGAACGGATTATGAGCAACGCCTTGTTAGTAATTCTTTCTCTTTCTCCTTCGCAATCCTTATCTGTTGTGAATCAGGAAATAATAGCTATTATTAAAGGAATGAAATTTGGGGTTTGATTTGAGTGCATGCACTTCATTTTCTTTTTACAAGTTTTTACCCCTTTGTTTCATTTCGTAATATAATTTTCATAAGTTCATTAGCCTTTTTTTTTTTTTTTTTTTTTAATTCATTTTCATAATTTTACATTTCCTTTGCCTGTATCAATTTCTTTAGTAAAATGTTGTAGCTTTAGATTAGCTGTTGTTATTCATGTTTCTTTTAGCCGGGATTATTCTGTACTACAGAATTAAAAAAAAGGTTCCTTTTTTTTTATAAAAAAATAATGATATGAGCTTGCATTGCAGTAGAGGAAACATGCATGTAATTTGTGGGTTCTACACATGCATGCACCCTGATATGATCATGGTTGTGTGGTGTGGTTATGTCTGTATATATTTATTGAGCCAGGGAATGTATATCCACAAGGGTAAGAAAATAAAATGAATGAGGAAGAAAGGTTGTGATGTGGTTGCTCTTGGCTTATTATTCTGTTCCTTGTTTTGCAATCACTATGTATTTTGTATACTTGAGATGTTATGGCTGGTTCTCTATCAAGTTGTTATGATTAGTCTTTTAGATATGTATTCTACCTGAATGTTTCTGCAGCTTATTGTATTTCTCAATGATGAAATTTGAAGCTTGATTGCAGGCACTTCCAAAAACATTTTCGGATAACATAAAGAAGAAGTTGCCAGAAAATGTGTCCCTTAAGGGTCCTGGTGGTGTTGTGTGGAATATAGGGCTAACCACTAGAGATGATACCTTGTACTTTGCGCATGGTTGGGAACAATTTGTGAAAGATCACTTGCTGAAAGAGAATGATCTCCTGGTCTTTAAGTACAATGGTGAATCTCAATTTGATGTTTTAATATTTGATGGGGGGAGCTTCTGTGAGAAGGCAGGTTCTTATTTTGTTCGAAAATGTGGGCACACTGAGGATGTAGGTGGAAGTCTTAATAAGAAAAAGGAAACAGCTAATTCTTTGGATGAAGGTAATTCCCCTTCAAATGTTGCTGTGGAATGTGCTTCACATGATAGAACTGTAAATGTCAATGGAATGAAGGAGCCGATGGATGTGCCTTTTGAAACTCCTATTGAGAAGACTTTCAATGCGGGTGTTGAATCTGCTGGTGCTGAGCAAGTAATGCCTGGTGGCGTTACTATTGCTTTTTCACCTGATGCTGTACCATCAGAAACTGTTAATGGTAAAAGGGTCAGGAAGCTTGTTTCTGCTGTTAGGCATGTCCAGACCAAGCGGAGGGGAAGACCAGCTAAAGTGTCTCATGTTGTTCGTGAGAGAGCACTTGACTGGGTGACTGGTAACATTTTTACTTAAGCAAAAGGGAAAGAAAATATTATTACTATTGTTTTATGGACTTAGATTTTTTTTTTAATTTTTTTATTTATTTTTTGTTTCCCTTGAGAAAGTTTAAATGTGTGAAAAATTTTATTTACCGATTAGTTTTTGATTCTACAAAACAAAAACATTTTCAAAGGCTTTCAACTTCAAATAGATATATAGATAATATGAAATAGTGGGAGCTTGTGTGGATATTCCAACATTACGTTCACTGTCGCCAAATTAATTTTAGGATTTGTCTCCTAATATACGGGAAATGAATAATGAGAAAGTATGGTTGCACCCACCTTTGATTTAAAGTGTGGGTTAAGTTTATGAGATGTCTTGATTCAAATTAGGGGTCAATACAAACTTACGTTCTTGCACTTTAGAGAAGCAAGAGTGATCCTAAAAATAACACAAGATGCAACTAGATTTGATAGAAGTAGTTTGTTGAAATTTGATATGTGCATTGAACTCTACTACAGAGTACAGACACTAACTAACTGATTTGATAATAGCTGGCCATTATTTCCTGTTAGACTTTTTGCTTGTTTTAGATCAAGTTCTAAATTATAATGCAGTGTGATTATTTTGAAACAACTAATTGATTGTTGCTTATAGAAAGCATGGTTGGCTTAGATTCGTTTTGGATACATAAATGCTTAATTTTCAAAATCTCATGGAGTTGGCAAAAATAAGTAATGATTTCTTCAAAATAAGTTGGATCAAACACTGAATTCCTAGGTTGAAAATTAATTAAAAATAAAAATGGAAACAGCTATTCTTCATGTTTGAGCATTGAATTATTTCAAATACTGCTTCTGTTTGAATCAATATTAGGAAGAGTAGATGCTGCTG